GCATTTTTAATTACTGTGTGTCTTGCAGATAAATCTTGGGTAATGACCAGTTGGTCTCAAATAAACCTTATCTAGAGATATTTTTCTTGATTTTTTTTCATTCATTCTGTAAGAGCCATTTTTTAAAAAAGATTCTATGGCAGCCAGGCATGGTAGTGCACACCTTTAATCCCAGCACTTGGGAGGCAGAGGCAGGAGGATCTCTGTGAGTTTAAGGCCAGCCTGGTCTACATAGTGAGCTCCCAGGACAGCTGGAGCTACAGGGAGACCCTGTCTCAAAAAGACCAAAAAACAAAAATAAAAATAAAAAGATTCTATAAGACTCCTCCCTTTCTTCTATTTCAGTTTCTTAATCATTTGTTAATTTGAAGAAAAGAGGCCCTTTGATGGATAGAATTTCCTGCACGAATGGACTGGATTTAAATGTTTCAAAAAAAAAAAAAAGGACAAAAAAATTAAATAAACATTTAAGAGTTACCCTAAAAATACTGATTATAAGGGCTGGAGATATGGCTCAGGAGTTAAGGGCAGCAGCACAGGCTGCTCTTGTAGAGGACCTGGGTTCAGTTCCCAACACCCACATGGTGGCTAACAACCATCCTTAACTTCAGCTCCAAGGGATATGACACCTTCTTTTGGCCTCTATGAGCACTGCACAACACAGGTGAACCTACGTTCTTGCAGGCAATACACTCATACACATAAAAATAAATAATGGGGCTGGAGAGATGACTCAGCAGTTAAGAACACAACACTGGTTGTTCTTGCAGGGTTTGAATCAAAGCACCCACATTGTGGCTAACAACAGTTTGTAACTCTAGTTTCAGGGAATCCAACACCCTAGTCCTCTGCTGGCACTGCACAACACAGGTGTACTTACACACATGTAGGCAATACACTCATACACATAAAATAAAAATAAGCCAGGTGTGGTGGTGCAATCCTTTAATCCCAGCACTTGGGAGGCAGAGGCAGGTGGATCTCTGTGAGTTCAAGGCCAGCCTGGTCTACATAGTGAGTTCCAGGACAGCTGGGGCTACAGGGAGGCCCTATCTCAAAAAGACCAAAATAAATAGATGATAGATAGATAGGTAGGTAGGCAGGCAGGCAGGCAGGCAGGCAGACAGACAGACAGATAATAATTTTTAAAAAGCTACTGATCACACTTTAAGCACTCAAAACCACAATCAGCAATTAGGCATAGTGGCTCATCCCTATAATCCACAGAACTTGGGGATGCTGAGGCAGAAGGACTGCCATGAGTTTGTAGCTACCCTGATCTACATAGTGAGCTCCAGGTCAGTCAAGGCTACACAGTAAGACCCTATTACAAAACAAAACTCCAACGCATAACCATGGTGTGCGGCTGTAGCTCAGTATAAGAGCTTGCCTCACATGCACAAAATCCTGAGTTCTATACCCAGAACCATAAAACACCCCAAGATTCAAAAACAACACATAATCACGAATTCTGTTGAGTCTCTTCCTCTTTTGCAAAAGAATTCATTCATATGTCAATTTATTTTATTTTATTTTTTTCACGTCAATTTATAAAGAAACAAAAAAATGCTGGAAAGGTTTTAAATGAGGAAAGAAGTGGTTAGTCCAGTTTCTAGCTTCTTTGTTATACAATACCATTCATACAACCCAATTCACCCGCCAGTATCTATGTCAGAAGTGCCAATGCTGCACACTGCCTCCCAGTGGAGCAGCTGAGGATTTAAGTGATACAGCACCTACATTCTTTTCCCTTACAATAGAATGACATTCCTTCCTTCCAGACTGTGACAGAAACCCTCCAGGGTCCTCAAGCCTGTCCTAATTTCCATGTGAAAGGCTGGACCACAGCAGAAGGTTTTTTTCCCCAAAAGGAAGTATTCTCATGCACAAGTAGACAGCATTGTTTTCCTCCTATATTTTTTTAACTGAATTTTTGCAAAAAATGCTACTTCCATGGACCAGAAAATAGTTTTAAAATGTACATTCAATTAATTTTCGCTGATTAATCCTTTTCTGCTTTCAATTGATAACTAAGACTTTCTTGGGGCTATTTTCCAAACTAAGAATGTTCATTTATACAAATAAGTGTCAAAATATTGATCACAGGCACTTGGCAATAATTACTACAAATCCACTTGCTCAAGGCTGTCATTTCACATTTAATTTCCTCTTCACCAAGAGCTTTATGATGCATTTAATTTTTCAAAGAAAAGTTGGGCCTGGTGGCACATCCCTTTAAATCCAACACTTGGGAGGCAGAGGCAGTCAGATCTCTGTGAGTTCAAAGTCAGCCTGGTCTACATAGCCAATTCCAGGCCAGCCAGGGCTACAGGGTGACCCTGTCTCAAACAATAAAACAAAGGGGCTGGAGAGATGGCTCAGTGGTTAAGAACACTGGTTGTTGTTGCAGAAGACCCAGGTTCAAATCCCAGCACCCACATGGCAGCTAACAACTGTCCATAACTCCAGTCCCATGGGATCCCACAGCCTCTTCTGACCTCCAAGGGCACTGCACGACATGGGTGCACTGACCTACATTCAGGCAATACATGCATACACATAAAATAAAAATAATAAATAAAAAACAACGAAAACAAAAATCAATTTTCCAAAGAATAGGGCTTTTTTTTTTTTGTCTTTTTGAAGCAGGGTCTCCCTGTAAGCCCCAGCTGTCCTGAAACTCACTATGTAAACCAGGCTGGCCTTGAATTCACAGAGATCCACCTGCCTCTGCCTCTCAAGTGCTGGGACTACAGGTGCATGCCACCATGCCTGGCTGAGAAAAAGGCATTTTTTTTAAAACCTTTTAAAAAATTTTTATCTTTTATTATTTTTATTTTATGTGTATTGCATGTATTGCCTGCATGTAGGTAAGTGCACCCGTGCGGAGGTCAAAAGAAGCTGTTGGATCCCCTGGGACTGGAGTTACAGACAGTTGTTAGCTGCCATGTGGGTGCTGGGATTCAAACCCGGGTCCTCTGCAAGAACAGTCAGTGTTCTTAACTGCTGAGCCATCTCTCCAGCCCCTTATTTATTATTTTTATTTTATGTGTATGCGTGTATTGTCTGCATGTAGGTAAGTGCACCCGTGTTGTGCAGAAAAAGGCATTTCGATAAGAAACTTTTAAGCCTGGGAAATTCACCAAAACCTCAACCTCCCCATAATAATTCTTACCTTCCTTTCTTCAGCGGACAATGCTCTAAATCGAACCATTCCTTCTTTTATTATGTCTGCTTCATCTGAAAAGTCAGAGTTGTCAGACAATATATGACTTCTATTTTCTTCCAGCCACACCTGGAACCCAGTCTTTGGTCTAAAATAATAATTATGTGAAAGAAATTTATGTTTAACACACAATTTAAAGTTCCATGTGACTTCTTAAACTGGTAATTAGCCTTTCTATACCTATGTAAAATAAGGGAGACCCAACTACACTTGTTCTGCCCATAGTACTTTAAGTTGCCTGTAGACTACAGGAAAATGATGAATTGGAAAATCCTTTGCAGGGTCAACTGAGAAGAAGCACTTACCTTTATATTTCCAAGTGCAGAAACCATAAACTCTGTGCTGACAAGTCTTATATGTACAGAGGCTCAAGGACTCCAACCTCTCTGAGCCCCTCTGGCCTGATTCCTCCAACTGTCATTTAGACTGACCATTTTGCAAAGCAGCTATCTGAAACACTGCTGTCTTCTCTGAGGCCCTTTCCATCATCTTACCCCTGCTCTCACTGACCTGGCTTCTCCCCTACCATCATTAGGTAAAGCAACACACTAGTAAATTTGACTGGGTTCTATCATACATTCAACACAAACTGCTAGAGGTCATCAGTGACACTTTAATGCAGATTTTTTTTTTTTTTCTGGTCTTTTTGAGACAGGGTCTCCCTGTAGCCCAAGCTGGCCTGGATTTGATATGGAGACCAGGCTGGCCTCGAACTCACAGATATCTGCCTGCTTCTGCCTCCCGAGGGCTGAGATTAGCCCAGCCCAATGCAGATATTTAATCATTTCTGATCACGTACTCTCATGTATCCTTTTAAATGCTTTATGTGTATTATCTGACATCAAAACTCTATCATTTACAAATAATTAGTAGCTCAACTCATAGAACCAGCAACTGAGGCTCAAAGAGATGAATTGCTTAGTAGGCAAAAAACAGAGCAAGAGACAGACCTGAGACTCAATAGCCAGGCAGCCTGACACCAGAATCCCCATGTTTAGACCACCTACTAGTTAGACTGCCTCTCACTATGCTGAAGCTGAATAGAATCTAAATAATGAGTCAGAATGCACGAGAAATGTATTTATGATTAAATTTTTAAACAGAAACAAAATATATAAAATTGTATCTCTAATTCAAACTGTATTAATTATAAATGCTTAAATTCACTAAAAAGAATTCCCTCTATTAAATGAATAAAACTGAATTATCTTTCTATAAACTTTTTAATTTTTAGAACTATTAAAAGCAAACAAAACAAAACATCAAGCTGGGTACTGTGGTACATGCCTGCAATCCCAACATTCAGAAGGCAGAGACAAAGGGCAGCAAATTCCAGACTAGCCTTGGCTATAACAGCAAGATATGAAAGCAGATATCCCACAAGGCTAGCTAATGCTGGTCCTACATGTAATGGACCACTAAATAAAACCCCACTGACAGGTGTGGGGTACCTCCATAAAAGTAGTTAGCCAGGGAGATTCCAGAGGGCCCCCAAACGATACAGGTTCTTATCATTCCTCTTGGTTGCCCACAAGAACTAGTCGATAAGATCCTACTGCTGAAGACACCACACATTGCATGTAAGATACAGTGAAATCAAGCTAGAACTGAGCTGGAAGCTTCCTCCCTTCTGGTTAGCTTCATAAAGCCAGATGGTGCTATGCAGGCTGCTAGAGGAGTAAAGGCATCAGTGGTCTTACTCAGCTGTGAAGTATGTGAACAACACCATTCTGTCAGACAAGATAAGCCCAGTTAGTAGCAAACTCTTATGCGGGCAACCAACTGCTCCCTGATTCGATTTGAGGCCTATTCCACAAGAGGGAATGCCTACCATTATAAACCCAGTCAACTCTGTGACTGAAGAGCTCTTATCCTTAGGGAAGAAATTACTACTGCTGCTTAGCTAAACTGACGTAGCAACAAACCACCTTCTAAATATCGATGTTTACACACACAAAGGCTAATTTAGCCTTAAACAGACACACTCTTTGCAGTAAACGGAGGTGATTGTAGAGACTCATGAAGGCACAAGATACTAAGAGTAAAAGGTGGCTAAGGGTTCAGCTCTAAATAAGGCATTTATATTACTCCCTTAAGGTTTAGGGAGCACTGAAGAGATGGGGGAGAATGAAGACAGGGAGGAGGGCTATAAAATGCCATGACACAGCATGGCAATCCAACTCACAGCAGCTATACCTATTGGCACTAGACCTACACAGTTGAAAATGTTCACATTTTCCAGCACCCACATGGTGGCTAACAACCATCACTAACTCTAGTTTCAGGGGATCCAATGCCCTCATCTGACCTCTGTACAGGGCACTTACATACTTGCAGACAAAACACTCAGATACAGAAATTTTTTTAAAAAAGAAATAAAAACTTTTTTTTTTCTTTGTTTTTTTGAGACAGGGTCTCCCTGTAGCCCCAGCTGTCCTGGAACTCACTATGTAGACCAGGCTGGCCTTGAACTCACAGAGATCCGCCTGCCTCTGCCTCCCAAGTGCTGGGATTAAAGGCATGAGCCACCATGCCTGGCCTAAAAAAGAAATAAAATATTTTTAAAAACCCAAAAAACAAAACGCCATGAATATGGTAAAGAGATTTGTAGGGAAGAAGGTAGGCCAACAGAAGTGGGAGGGGTCTAAGAGATGAGGGAGAGTAACCAGAATCATTGTATACAGGTAAGAAACTGCCACAGAACAAAATTTATTTAAAAAAAAAAACCTAAAAATATCAGAGTAACTATAATATACAAATTTCAAATAATCATAATTAAATCAGATTTTCAGAAAAATAATATAAACAACAACAAAAAGCTAATAATGTTAGACAAAGGTACTTGGATTTTCAAATTAGTATAGACTCCTTTCAATTAAATTTAGTGAAATGTCACAAGTCAAGCTAACAGTATACAATTTCTGTCTCCAAAGAGCCGTTTTAGAAGAAAAACAAAATTGAGCTATTTTTCCTCTAGTTTAATGTATCAATATCTGTGATAGGATATATGATTAAATATAATTCCTTAGTGAGATTTCAAAAGGTATGCTTTCAACGTAGTGAATTAACGAATAGTTGAATTTGCAATGCTCTGAGCTTTTTTTGTATATTTTAAAAAAATATTTTATTTATTTATTTATTTAATTTTTAAATTTTCTGTGTGTGTATGAAGTGTATTGCCTGCATCTGTCTAAGTGCATCTGTGTCATGTAATGTCCAAAGAGGTGAGGAGGGGCACTGGATTCCCCTGGAACTGCAGTTACTGACAGTTGTTAGCCACCATGTGGGTGCTGGGAATCAAACCTGGGTTCTCTGCAAGAGCAGCCAGCAGTGCTCCTAATCGCTCAGCCATCTCTCCAACCCCGTTTCTTTTTAAAGACAGGTTTTTACTCTCTAGCCCAGGCTGGCCTTGAACTCTCGGTCCTCCTGAGTGCTGGGATTACAGGCATGTGCTCATCAAGCTTCTTAAATAAAAATTTCACATTTCAAAATATAAATCGAATTCATAGCAAAACACAAAATAACCACATAAAAAAGTTAATCCCTTCCCCTCACGTTAACTTAAATAGATCCAGCACAGTGGAAATAAGGAATCTAGTAAGTTAGTCAAAGTGGTGCACAGTACAGTCCCAGCTACCTGGGAGGCTATGGGAGGATCACTGAGTGTAGGAGTTTGAGGACAGACTACGCATATGAGACCTGGACTTAAGATTAGCAACCACATTTTATCCACAAGAAGAGAACTGAATGAATTATGATATACCCATTCAACAGATGTAAAAAGATTAAAAGAGCCCTGGATGCAGAAATATGAAATGATATGTAAAGGCTGATAGTAATAAAACTACAGGACAGATACAGGTATCTGTTTATGCATGGAGTAATTTTAGAAGGGTACATAAGAAACCTGTAATGAATCATTTGGGAATGTGAAACTGGGGGGAATAGTTTTATTTTTCATTCCATGTCTTTTGGTATTTTTTGCTGTTTTTTTCTTGTGCAACTATGTTAGTTAAAAACAATGGAGGCTGTGGGGGCTGGAGAGATGGCTCAGCAGTTAAGAACACTGGTTGTTCTTGCAGAAGACCCGGGTTCGAGTCCCAGCACCCACATGGCAGCTAACAACTGTCTGAAACTCCAGTCCAGGGGATCTGACAGCCTCTCTGACCTCAGAGGGCATTGCAACATACAGGTGCACTTACCTACATGCAGGCAATACATGAATACACATAAAATAAAAATAAATAAATAAAATTAAAAATTAAAAATAACAACGGAGGCTAGAGAGATGGCGCAGTGGTTAAGAGCACTGGCTGCTCTTGCCAGGGACCTAGGTTTGATTGCCAACACCCACATGGTGGCTAACAACCATCCTTAACTCCAGTTCCAGGGGACCCAATGCCCTCTTCCGGAATCCTTGGGCACTGCATGACATGGGTGCACTTAATAGGCATGCAGTCAAAACATTCATACACATAATAAATAAAAATAAATAATAAAATTTAAAAACAGAAAAAAACAAAAAACAATGTTGGGGTATGGTGGTGCATACTTTCAGGTGGCTCTTTTTGAGTCTGTGGCCAGCCTGGTCTACATAGGGAGTTCCAGGCCAGTTAGGGCTATATAGTGAGAGACCTTGACTCAAAAAACCAAAATAAATAAATTACAAAAATAAAAATTAATTGTAAAATATAGCACCAATAAATATTCATAATTAAAAACCTATATAATTAATTAAAACATTTAAATAAGCTTTGAAAGTAAGACACTAATAAATAGCTGTGATTTCCTTAACATCAAAAGTGTTCAAAGCCGGGCATGGAGGCGCACGCCTTTAATCACCAGCACTTGGGAGGCAGAGACAGGCAGATCTTTGTGAGTTTGAGGCCAACCTGGTCTACATAGTGAATTCCAGGGCAGCTGGGGCTACAGGGAGACCCCACTTCAAAAAGACCAAAAAAAAAAAAGTGTTCAAATAACTACTACCAGTGCCAATTATTCATAACAAGGTATAACAAAATTGTGAAAATTTGTATTTTGAATAATGGGTTTGCTATGCTATTGATTTTTTTTTTAAACTGGGACAGTATATATTAAACACAAATTCCTCTATATACCGACCTTTGATGTTCAGAGTTTTGAGGGGACATAGCTGGGGTTTCAGATGTTGGAATTTTAGGATTTTCTTCTTTTATTTCCTCAGTCTTATCAGCCTGTGAAGTTCTTTTCTGGAAATAGGATGCTGCAGATACCTACAAAAACAGACATGAGATGTCTGAATCTCTGGGGACTAGCGTATGAACATTTAAAAAGGGGATTCTGGAACAAAACCATGACTGAATCCACTTCCCCAGCTACATAATGATAAACCATGGGCACCTACTCTGTACCTGGAACATAGTACATGATGCTTACTGCAGGGGGTGGGGCACTAAAATAGTACCTGCTTAGATTTTGGCTTGGGAATGAGAGGCTTTATAACTGGAGACTTTTCATTATTTGCTGCTCGATTAAGTGGAGTGGATTTCCTGGATAATTTGTCCATATTGTCTAAAATATTAGTTGAACGTGTTGAATTTGCTGATATGGCTGGTTCTTTGGAATTAACAAGTACCTAAAGAGAAAACTAGTGTTAGCATTTTATGCTTAAAAAAGTAAACAAAATTCCCAAGAAATGTACTTTTCTTTTAAATTTATGTAAGTTTGCATTTTGGTCAGCTTTTTGGAAATAAAGTCATGTGGTACAACCCAAATTGAGACTCAGGCACATATTCTCAAATTTCACATCCCCAAACCACCAGTACTCAGAAGTTAAGTAGAACATCTAATGCTTAGACCAAATGGGAACCAATGCTGGCTGCCTTTTCTTTGTTTTCAGAGTGATGAGTCTTTAACACTCTGAGTCTAGGGAGGGTCACTTGGAAACATCTCTTTGTACGGATGTGCATTTACAGAACAGAAAACACTGCTGCTTACCTTGAAGGGGTTTACTCGTCCCTGGTTGCTACAGATAACAGCACCTTTTAAAGAAATAAACCCTCATTTAATAGTGGTTAAAAAAAAAAAAAAAAGACAATGTGTGACTTTTATAATACTAAACAGATTATTTTAATCTATATCATATGCAAGCAAAGTATTTTGTAACCTTAAAACAATTAAACACAGATGACTTTTCTATTTCCAAGAGAAACAGTGTTGGATGGGAGCTGTACCAACCTGCCACCATGAAGTAGGTCAGTATACACAGACAACAGTGACACCACAGCATAAATTAAGGTTAGTAATCCCTTTACTCTGGACACCCACCCCCACTGTCAAAAAACCCGACCTACTGATGACGCCTCTTTCCCCACCTTTGATATTTCCCATTTAACTGCTCATGTCTCAACTTAAAAACAAAAACCCTTATACCCTACTTCCAGCTACCATTTTTTCTTACATTCCTTATCAAAATTTTCAAAATTTGTTGACACTATTCCTGTTTCCTCCCTACCATACATCCTCCATAACACCACAAAACTTCCAGCCCTGCTACACTACAGCTGAAGTCCCAATCTTCTCTGTACCAAATCTGCTGGATACTTTTTCAGTCATCTTATTCGACCTCCCAGTGGCTCTCTATACAGCAAACTACGCCTTTCTTAATACTTTCTCCTCTCTTGACTTTTGAGATACATCCTGGTCTTTCTTTCTCTCCGGCCCAGTGGTCTCATTCTCTTTCAGTGCTTCCTCCCCTCTTCTATCCAATGCTTAAATGGTGGGGTTCCCTAGGTCGAGTTCCTTTCTCTTCTTGCTGTATACTCTCATATGCTTTCTCACCCGTGACCATGGTGCCCATGGTTTAAATCACTCTACTTGTGCCAATGGCTTTAGCTTTGTATCTCAAAGCCAGGTTACTTTCTTAAGTGCTCGATGCAAATACCTGTCTATGTGATTCTACATATCTCATGGTAATTCATCATCTTTCCAGATAAATCTGCTTTTCTCTAATTTCTGGCTCCAAGCACTCGTTTTTTTACTCTGAACCGTACTCCATATTAAAAGCCTTTTCTTTCTACCATCTCTAGCCTAGCCCAAGCTACAACTCTGTCTCACTTGGACCGCTTCAGTAGTCTCATGTCTGTTCCTCCTCAGGATCATGCACCATGTTATGCTCTTCCCGAGAACCTAGCACAGCCTCCCAGGGATTTAGGAATACAGAACATAATCCTTAGTACCATCTACAACATCTTCAGGATTTGGCTCTTGCCTACCCCTCCAAAATGCTACAGTACTTTCTCCTGGTTCCCGTATTCTTCCCCCTACCCTCTGCAGTCTTCACATATGCTGCTGCTCCTGCTCCTGCTCCCATCCACCATCGCCTCACTGGCCAATTCACCCTTCCAGTGTCTGCTGTCAGCACTCCATGAGAACTTCCTCAGCTACTCATCCTCTGTACTGACTGGATTACAGCCAAGTATTACACACTCTCCTAATACCCTATGCTCTTTTTTTCCCAGATTCCTCATGTTAAGTGCTGGGAACTGAACCTAGATCCTCTGCAAGAGCAACCAACGTTCTTAACCACTGTGCCAGCTCTCGAGTCCCTTTTTCCTTTGTGAGATAGGGTCTTGCTATGTAGTTCAGGCTGGTTTTACACTAGTACTCTTCCTGGCTTGAGCAATCTTCCAAGTGTTGGAAGAAAAGTGTGTACCATCATGGCCAACCTAAAGTTAAAAAAATTTTTAAGATAGGCTATAGCCCTGGCTGGCCTGGAACAGATTTGCCTGCTCCTGCCTCACAACTGCTGGGATTGAAGGCATGCACCATCACACCTGACCTAAAGTCAATTCATTTTTTGAATAGAAGTATACAACTTAATTTTTTCTTTTACCATCATTACAGAAAGGGGGGGATACGAATAATGTATTTGTGTGGACATGCGCATGCCATTGACATGTGATCAGAAGACAACTTTGTGGATTCACTTGTCTTCGTCCACTGTTATGTGGGTTCCCAGGATTGAACTCAGGTTGTTAGGCTTTTTCAGCAAGTGCTTTCACATAATAAGTTATCTTGCCGGCCCCAGGTACACAATTTTTTACAAATCAAAGTAACACATGTATATAGTTTAAAAAGAGAAATGGCATTATATGATATTCGTTTAATAAAAAAAATGAGTTGGGTATGGTGGCGCACGCCTTTAATCCCAGCACTCGGGAGGCAGAGGCAGGCGGATCTCTGTGAGTTCAAGACCTGCCTGGTCTACATAGTGAGTTCCAGGACAGCTGGGGCTATTGGGAGATCCCCTGTCTTAAAAACAAAACAAAACAAATCAGCAGTCCTGTCCTCTATCTAATC